CGAGGGGCGGGGTACACCCTGGACAGGTCACAAGTCCATCACAGGGCCACACATAGAGACAAACAATACAAACAACCATRCACTCTCTCACTCACACCTAGGGACAATTTAGAGTTATCAGTTAACCTGACAGTCATGTTTTTGGTCTGTGGGAGGAAGCCGGAGTACCCGGAGAGAACCCACGCATGCACGGAGAGAACATGCAAACTCTACCCAGAAAGGTCCCCGGACTGGGATTTGAACCGGTGACCTTCTTGCTGAGAGGCATCAGCTCTACCAACTGAGCCACCGTCCTCATATAATCTTGATTTTTTTTCATACTTAAATCACTCCTGCTTTGCTTTTTCACGGAAGACAGGCGGAGTTGTGGAGTGCAGAGGCTCACAGTGAGAGGGGAAGTGGGGTTTCCGCTTGACAAACACATGGTTCCACCCATGTGACAGGATGACATCATCACGTACAGATATGTGATGACGTATTTCCCTATGTGATGACGTAACACATTCAAAATCGAACGGCTCTTTTGAATGGCTCTACGAAACAAACGGCTCCCTAAGATCCGGATCCCTTCAAAGAGCCATTTGACCCATCACTAAGTCAGAACATCATCCCCGCTGTCAAACATGGAGGTGGAAACATTATGTTTTTGGGGGGTTTCTCTGCTAAGGGCACAGGACTACTTTAATTTATTTTATATTATATAATATATTATATTTGTACTATAAATCGGAGAATGACTGGAGCCATGTACCTTCTTCCCTTCACCTCAATGGGTTGTGGCTCTTCCAACACAACAAAGACCCGAAACATCAGCCAAAGCAGTGGCGGCTGGTCAATAGAGGGCGCTATGGCACCACCCCACCACTATTTTTTGGGACAGAAAAAATATAAAAAGGAAAAAACAAAATAAAATGTTTAGTAGAAATATCTGTATATGTATTAGATGTGTAAGATATGTTTTAAATAGTTATCAATGGTTAAAAGTTCATTTTTAACTCATGAACGATGTTGTTTTGAGTCACTTCTGGTTCACGTCAAAATCTTTACCATTGAAGTCTAATGTTAACTCCTGGGCATGCTCAGTACGTCCTCAATGCAAAAGAATATGGAGTCTCTCCAGAATGTGGTTTGCATACCAGTAGAGGGTGGACGCCATGTTCAGTAGGGCTGGACAGAGCAAACCCAGTAAGCTAATGGAGGAGCTAACAGCTCAGCTAAGTCTCTTATAACAACCTTTTTGATGAGAACAAACCAGGAGAAACTTAAACTATAAGAACCTGGACATGATCAGATGGACATGAAGAGCAGCAGACCAAAGAAGAGGGAGAGTTTACACTCCATTTTACGAGACCTGGATTAGAAACAAGGCTAAGCTAACTGCTAGTAGCGAGGCTAATGCTCTGTTTCTGCCTGTTTTTTTGAGCATCAGGATCTGATCCAGTATGGATTAAAACAGGTAAGAGAAGAGCTAAAATACTATTGTAATGCTTGTTAATCATGGTAAATTATATATATTATATGTCAATGGTGAACACAACTTAAAATGCTATAATATTTTATGTTTATGTTTTTGACAGATATTAGATTTTTTTCTTTCTGCTGCCTTTCATTTTATCCATCTTTTTTCTACTGCTGTGTATAGAGTTTATTTTGTTTTTTAATGAAATTAATAAATCTTAAAACAAAAAATATAATAGGTACAACAATGTGTTGCTATTAAAATAACAAGAATTTTTTTCTATATATTAAATATATATTATAAAGCTCACTTGTAGCCATCTCTATATTGAATTAAATTTCTTTAATTCAATATAGAGATGGCGGCTGTGGCGGAGTGGTTAGGGGAGTCGTCCTGGAACCAGAAGGTTACTGGTTCGATCCCCCGTCCAGCCATCTCAGTCATTGTGTCCTTGGGCAAGACACTTCACCCACCTTGCCTACTGATGGTGGTCAGAGGGTCCGGTGGCGCCGATGCATGGCAGCCCCACCTCTGTCAGTGTGCCCCAGGGCAGCTGTGGCTACAGTGTAGTTTGCCATCATCAGTGTGTGAATGTGAGTGTGAATGGGTGAATGTCTGTTAGTGTAAAGCGCTTTGGGGGTCCGGAGGGGCTTGAAAAGCGCTCTATAAGTTCAGTACCATTTACCATTCTGAATAAATTTTTTTTAGGTTTATGAAATCTTGAGACATTCAGAAAACATCTGATCAGTGCTGCAGGCAGACGAGGTCCTGCAGGACAGTTCTCTGAAGCAGCTCTGAAGACCATGGAGACTCACTCAGAGAATCCAGACTTTCCTCAGGTACATCACATCTCACTGCACTGACCATGCTCTCTATAGAGAAGAATCTTATTAAAACATTCCTGACTTTAACCAGAGTCATGAAGAAATTTGCTTCTCATTTACAGAAGAGCAAAATTTATGTACTAAAAATGAAACACTACATGGCATTGTAATGCTGTTTTATTATTTTCATTTATTTCATAAAGACACTGCCGTTAAATAACTTAGTACATGTGTGATTACTTTTTGAGATATGTCTATTTTGGAGTTGTAGCCCCCCCTGGAGAAAAATCCAACAGCCGCCACTTCAGCCAAGGCAACAAAGGAGTGGCTCAAAAAGAAGCACATAAGGTCCTGAAGTGGTCTAAGTCAGTCTCCGGACCTTAATCCCATCATAAACCTACAGAGGGAGCTGAAACTCCATGTTGTCAAGTGACAGCCTCAAAATCGTAATGACAGAGATGATCTGCAAAGTGAAGACCAAAATTCCTCCTGACATGTGAGCAAACCTCATCAACAACTACAAAAAATGTCTGACTGCTGTGCTTGCTAGCCAGGGTTTGGCTATCAAGTATTAAGTCTTGTTTGCCAGAGGGATCAAATACTTATTTCTCTCTGCAAAATGTTAATAAATTTATATAATTTATTCAATGTGATTTTCTGGATTTTTTTAAATATTCTGTCTCTCGCTGTTAAAATGAACCTATACCCTTAAAATTACAGACAGTTATGTCTTTGTAAATGGGCAAACGTACAAAATCAGCAAGAAATCAAATTCTTATTTCTTGCACTGTATACTGAAACCATTTGACATTTTGATTGTGCACAGGTGGATCTAATCAAACCAGTTATGTGGCTTCTGATTCTAATGGTAGGAACTTTAAACCAATGGGGTTCTTCTATTTTACCTTCATAAATCTGGAGTGCTTTGGGTAGGTTCATTGCTTTTAATCAAAAAGATAATTCATTTAAGGATTCCAAAGGGGGTGAATACTTTTACAATCTACTGTAAATGTTGGTCAGTCAGTAAAGGGACACTGGTGAATGTGTGGGTGAAAATAAAGTGGGAGAAAACACTCGTGGCCATAAAAGCTTCCTCTAGCAGCCTCCATAAAAGTGTTGCAAGTAAAGTGTATTTTAATTCCCTTCTTCTCTCTGCTGTCTCCCCTTCTTTCTCCTTCTTAGTGCCATATGCTTGAAGCTCCATCTCAAGCTCATTTGCAGTGCCACACACACACACACACACACACACACACACACACACACACACA